CAATCAACCGTGATCGAGGGTTTTGGCCCACCGCCTCGATAAACACGTTCTTGGCGGATTTAATTAAAACAAATTTCATTGTGCCAATCCTCATTAGGAGTCCTTTGCACTCGCAGTCTTCAGTTTGAAGAGACTGGAAAGATTTTCGCACAAAGCGTCTACCTGATGTGTGTTCCTGGCGTCGATGAACTTATTCTGCTTAAATTCGTTCAGAGAACTGCCGTATCAACGTCAAGGGTTTTATCATCATGATGAAATGCCACGCAAAAGTCAAAAGCACGTCATTTTATACTCTGGAAAAGGTGACTTTCGATTGACTCTGTCTGGCGTTGATCATTTTTCGTTGCTCCATTCATGAGAATAGTCAAATTAGGGGCCAAAAATTACTTTCGAGAAACTTTCTTGCTTATTTGCTTATAACGAGAAAAGTGATTAGACTGGTTGCGGGCATGACAGAAAAAGGTGGAGGAAAGCGTTTAAAAAATAACGAATTTGCTTGTAATGGGCCCGTTTTCCGAGAGCAAAAATATGAGTTGTCTCTTTCAGTAAATGTCTCAAAAATCACGATGAGCGCTTTGAAAAAGTTTGAAATGCACTCCTAACTCCACAATCTGCGTAGGAAATTCGCGTTTTTTTTTTAGCCCCCCGCTTCAAAAACGATTCCACGGCACAGGTGAACATTTCGTTAGAGGAGTCTGAGTCGCTCTATCCAACCTTATGCACTTGGATATTACTCAACATTCAACATGGCCAACACGAATTCGCCAAACTGCATGTTCCTGGACGAGATTCTAACCATTTGTTAACAACCCAGCGTGTTTACATTCACGATTTCTTTGCATTGATCCGCTTTGGTTTACCTTGTGCTTTCGATTGCAATTTTCACGCGGAAGCTTCGGCTTTGTTGGGTATTGCCATTGCGAAAGGGGTGAATGGAACGACTCCTCTAACGAAATGTTCCCCTGTGCCGCAGTATCGTTTTGAAGCGAGATGCTCAAAAAATCGCAAATTTCTTACGCAGGCTGTGAAGTTAGGAGCAGTGTTCGAAACTCTCAGGCGCCAAATGCGTCTATAAACTCGGTCATGGCGCCTAAAAATGAAGGCTCTGCGCCAATGTGGCCCCTAAAAATTTGAATTTTCGTATTAGGTGACTTTGAAATTTTCATCACTACATGTGAAAGCTTTTTCTATTCTTCACGATTTCATCAATAGTACTTTTATCTTCCTCAAGTTACAGCATCTTACTAGACCTGTTACGAAGACATCTTCCGTGTAACTTTTCACTAAATGCGCCGTAATATGTAGGCAAAAAGTCAATTTGGCCCCTAAAAAATCTACTATGGCGACTAGATATCGGGCTAGATGCGCCACATGGTGACATGGCTCCTAAAACTCAGAGATGAGTTTCGAACACTGGTTAGGAGTGCATTTCAAACTTTGCCAATACGCTCGTCGTGATTTTTAGCGATCCTGCAGAGTGGATTGAGCAGTTCATTTTTGGCATTTTGGCCGCGCGAGCACCCACGCTTGCTAAAGGTTACCCTAGTCGTGATACACCAGGAGTGCAAACGAACGAGATAGAACACGAGGGGGTGGTGTGGTGGACCAGTGAAGATGAGGTGGGGGTGGCACAATGGTTGCCCCGGCGGAAACTCAGCGTCCTGTTATCTCCGCCTCTACTCAATTGGTGAATGAATAGCGCGATCGCTTTTGTATTAGCGGCCAATTTAAAATTCACTTGGTAGCAGCATTCTCATTGCCACTTGATGCCACATTGCGCCAGACGATGCGCTGCGCCGCACAAGTATAGCAACAAACATTCAAAAAGCTCTTGCCCACGATCAAGTATGTTTTATAGGCCCATAATTCTAAGTCCGGAAGTTACCAAGTTTTATTTTGGAAAGTCAATCATGGTAGGGCTCAGACGATCTTAAGCTCACTTCGCACTATCAAACTTTTCATCCGACTCTTGGATGCAACTTGTCGATTGAATGGTTGGATAGTGAGACATTGACGAAAGAAAACGACAATTTGATGAAAAGTTGAATGTGACGTCACATTCAACTTTTCATTCAACATTCCATCCAATTAGCGCCGCCAATTGGATGGAAAGTTGAACGAAAAGTTGGAACGAAATCTTCCGACCGACATGAGCTGAAGCTGTATCTTCGCGAACCGCAGGCTGGTGACGATATCACACTGCAACGGTATTCAAATAAAAAATGTTTGCGTCCAACTTTCCATCCAACTTTTCGTTCAATCATGTCGGATGAAAAGTTTCATTGTGTGAATTGGGCTTTAGGTGTAATGGAGAATTTGCATTTGTCAGAAATTGTGTGACTTATTTTCAGGAAGAGACTACTGAGTTAACTATGAGAATATCGTTGGTTTCCAAAATGAACAATTATTAGAGGTGATATGGCCAAATGACTTAATCTACTATAATACATGTGTTCAAATGGGAAATGCCGCCTGATGACGCCACAAGGCGGCAGATTTTCTAACTTCTGTAATATTTTTCTACAATTTCCCATAACAGAAAAAAGCTATCTGAAATACTGCAAACGCAACTCATTAAGGATTCTCCGATGTAGCAATAAAAATTGTTTTTGCAAATCCTCCATAGAGGTGATTCTGGTTTTAAATGTCCCCGACTGGACGCAATTATTCTTAGAGGAACCGTGTGCGCTAACGTCGTTATATGTATCATAAATGCGACCAATTGACATTGTAATGCAGTAACATAGCCGTCTCTTTTTACGTTAGAACCCCATTTTCCTCATCGCTGTCACGATAGATTTCTCCTAAGACGATAGATTCATTGCAGAAAATGATGATTTTTCCTAGCGTGCGGCGTTATGTGGTGGTATGGCTCACATACCCGAACGTTTTAATTAACCGCATTTCAATTTCATACACCCGCTTGATTCCTCTGTTTATGCTCGGTGCACTTCTCTGCACTACCGATGCTTTCAACGCTTCTTTATTTTCCGCCTCTTGACCGCGATAGTTTTCAAAGTCAAGTTGAGGCAGGAAAAGAGAGACGTCACAGGGCCAATCTTCACCTTACCAATGTTTTCATAGACGTTCTGATTTCTAACACGAATCCGTCAAAATTTCTCTAGCTGTTTTTCTACAGCTGAATACTGCTATTTCTCTGGCTAGTTGTGAAAGCTTCAAGCAATGATTTTGATTAAATTTGTTCATTTTCGAGAAAATAAAACAGGGAAGAAGGTTCAAAACACCGCCAACGAGATACTTGGTTTCAGTAACGAGCACTGGAAAAAAACACATTGGATCTAGAGTCCAGACTCTTAAAAACATCGACAAGAAAAAACACTCTTGATCAATCAGATTTAAGCTTAAATCAAGAACCCAGCCTCTTAATTTGAGCGGATTTTCTTTTGATTTAAGCTTAAATCTGATTGAATCAAGAGTCCTTTTTCTTGTCAATGTTTTCAAGAGTCTGGACTCTAAATCCAATGTGTTTTTTTTTCCAGTGAGGCGTGAATGATCGATTGTCGATATTTTCTCATTTGAAGTTATGGTAAAGAATGGATTCTTAAGGTGTTCGTTGCGTACACCTCATTATCGATCCATTTCCATAGATTTAAATGACAGATCCATCGATATACCGCGAATCACGCCACGCCACTGCTTGATTTGCGAGTTTCACCGTCGACATGCTATCCCGCTAATGCAGCTCTCTGTCGCAGGAATCGAGAGAGAAACGAAAACGCCTTCATTTCTTGTGTATGCAATACGGACGTCCATAGAGCAGTTATAGTTGTATCATGCAGCCTCAGCAGGCGTTCGGCTCGGCGTGTTTGTCGGTCAATCAAAACGAACAGTTCCTATGTTATCGCTCGCATAAATGATAGACCGCCGGCATTGCACTATTGGAGGACCGAAAGTTTCGTATTTAAAATCGATACGAGGCGCTTTTTGCGAACTTAATAAGCGCCAAAAAAAATCGCATCGAAAATTTTCGAACCTGGAATCCTGCGTCGCAGTGCTGACAGTCCAATGCGCTAGCTACTCATAAGTTGTGACCACTGAGGGGCATAGAGAGAAAAGGAAGTACACTAGTTCAGCACGACACTGTTTTCCACCATAAATTTCTCGGAGTCCGGAGTCCGGAGTCGTTCGGTCGATTTAATAAATTCTATTTTGGTTGATCGAACCAAAAAAAATTAATCAAATTAACCCGTAGTAACTTGTAGTACTGGAATATTTAAATGTCTTCTCTTCATGTCAATCGGGGTTTTTCAGGTTACTATAGGCTTTGGGGTTCACTTTCAGATGTTTAATATTGTGATTCCTTCGTCGTCGTTTTCTTCTTTTTTTCGTCTTCCTCCTCAGCTTCTTCCCTCTCTTCATCCCCCTTTTCTTCTGCATCTATTTCTTCCTTTTCTTTTTCCTCCTCTTCTTCCTGCTCCTCCTCCTTCCCCTTCTTCCCTCTCTTCTTCTTCCTTTTCTTCCGCGCATCTAATTCTTCTTTTTCCTTTTCTTTTGCTTCTAATTCGTCTTCTTCTTCCTCTTCCTTTTCTCTGCTTTCTTCCGTTTCTTCTTCTTCTTTTTCCTTTTTTTTCTGCGCATCGAATTCTTCTTCTTCTTTTTCTTCTGCGCATCGAATTCTTCTTCTTCCTTTTCTTCTGCATCTAATTCATCTTCTTCCTCTTCCTTTTCTTCTGCATCTAATTCGTCTTCTTCCTCTCCCTTTTCTTCTGCATCTAATTCTTCTTCTTCCTCCTCGTTTTCTTCCCTCTCTTCATCCCCCTTTTCATCTGCATCTATTTATTCCTTTTATTCTTCTTCCTATTCCTCCTCTTCCATCCCCTTCTTCCCTCTCTTCTTCTTTCTTTTCTTCTTCTTCTTCTTCTTCTTCTTCTTCTTCTTCTTCTTCTTCTTCTTCTTCTTCTTCTTCTTCTTCTTATTCTGCTTCTTATCCTTTTGCTTGGAATGATTATTCAATCGGAGTATTTTGATTTGTGTTTCAGGAGGAGGGATCTCGATGACACACGCGAGCGGGAAGCCGTACCTGTCGTCGACGAACGGGTCGGTGGCCTCCATGTCGACGACGCTCTCCTCCAACGGCTCCACCACCGGCTCCGTCTCCCGGATCGGACCCCTCCGCTCCAGCCTCAAGAAGCCCCGGACCCAAACCGACGGCCTCGGCATCCAGAACCCCGGCTTCAGCGGCACCTCGCCCACCCTCTCCAGGAACGGCAGCGTCAAGAAAGTCAGGATCCAGACCCACAGCACCGCCGTCTAATCCCCCGAAACAGGATCACAAACGACACCCTCCATTAGCGTTCAGCTCACTTAAAAACTAGAGGCTTCAAAGAGGTTCATCGATGCCTTTCCTGGCCCTCTCATTGGCCAGCGGTCTAAGTCGAAGCAATCGATGAGTCTCTTTGAAGCCTCTAGTTTGTAAGCGGACTGGACGCTATTCGTATCTTGGCAATGGTTGAAGCTTTTACTCTTGCCACTCCAACATTCAACTCTTGCCTAAAGCCCAATTCACACTATCAAACTTTTCATTCAACTCTTGGATGCAACTTGTCGAATGAAAAGTTGGATATTGTGACACTGACGAGAGAAAACGACGATTTGATGAAAAATTGAACGGAAACTTGAATGTGCCGTCACATTCAACTTTTCAACTTCAACTTTCCATCCAATTGGCGAAAGTTGGAACGAAATCTTCCGACTGACATAGGCCGGAGCTGTATCTTCGCGAACCGCAGGCTGATGACGATATCACACTGTAACGGTGATTTTATTAAATTTTTTTGAGTCCAACTTTCCATCTAACTTTTCGTTCAATTATGTCGGATGAAAAGTTTGATAGTGTGAATTGGGCTTTACTGGATGGATCTTGAACAACGTCTTGAGTATTTCCTTCGGCAAACATATCCAAGTTTTGTAAACTTGTTTGGCTCATTACGTCATCCGAGGCTCTTCATCCTTCTAGTAGGTAAGATGACTCTTGTTCCCATACAAGTGTCCACAAGTAAGTGTTGAGTCCCCGAAAGTAAAAGTTTCCACCTGACGCCAAGACACTAGTGGAGGGTCTCTTGTCCCAGCGCAGGGCGGTCTGGCCCATGTGGCTCGCAGAAAAGAATGCCTTGCTACAGTGATCAGGATCCTTGTCAGAATTGGACTTTGTTTTGCGATTGAGATCTACAATTTCTGGCGCCTCCGTAAAAACACTCGTGTGCGTAGGGGAACTAATGCTAACATACGTTGTTTCTGAACTGAACCCGAAATTGTAGTTCCGAATTGCAAAATACAGTCCAATTGATCTACAAGATCAAGGGTGGTAACCCTGCTAGTAAGTGCGGTCGTGTCCCAATACTTCATCTTATGGTTTTTATTTTGAATGGTTTCTCGGAGCAAGCTGCTGTCAATGAAAAAATCCATCTCTGTAAAGTAAGCAGACGATAATATCGATTATCTATCCATTGATTTCAGCCAAATCCGAAGTGAGCTCGGGTCCATTTATCTTTCAGTATTTTAGGCAGTGTACGATGTTTTTCAATTTGTTGACGAGTAGTTCGAAGCCATTTTCCTGACTTTTATTATTGTTATCAATACTACGTACGTAGCAGAGCACCTTACGAGGATATGAATGTTTTTCAAACACTATTGCTTTTATGCCCGTCCATTATTTTAATTTCTATTATTGTTTTTATAATAATTTTTATCATTATCATCATCGTTTTTTCGCATGTAAATTTTAATTTTTGTTGGTTTAAATATTGCGTTTTCTGCCTTACAGTGTATTGAAAGTAAAGTACCTACTCAACACTAATTAGAGTCGCGTCATGCAATTCCAGTGTAATATTTTTTACAGTATTAATATAGATTTTTAGATTTGTTTTGTTTCAGATTTGCGCATCAGTGTGATATAGCGTAGATATTGTATTATACTTACTCACATCTCATGAACCAAATTGACGCCATGAGCGAGTTCTCTGATTTTCTAAACTTTTGTCTTACTTTCTTTTAATCATCTTGTCTATTATTACTGAAGTAAATCTTAAAAAATTTATGAGACCATTCATCATCTCACTGGTGATCCAATCACTACATTGCAACTGATGCGAAGCACAGCAACATCAGTATAATCAGTACCATACTCGTTTGAGAAATAAAAAAAAAAGGATAAGGTCCTTCAGGAATTCAAAATTTTTACCAAAAATGAAAAACTAAAAAATGCCTAGCTGCCATACATTTATTTATTAATTTCATTCTACCATTTTTTCTTTTTTGGGTCTCGTCTATGTACTCCACGTAATTTACCGCAGAATAAAAGAACGGTTTCTGGGGCTAACATTATGGGTAAATTTCAATGTATTAGAGCTAGAAGCCTGTATGTTAATATCTGAAATTAATTTTTGGCATTTTTAACGTTGGTTCTATTAATTTTTATTCAATGCGAGGAGCATTTAAATCCAGCTGAAAGGAACGGAGTAATCCAAATATTTAGTTATTAATGACTGAGCTTAAGCGTACCTTACTTTTTGCTACCGAAAATCAAAACTTACGGAAAATCTATAGAATTCTAAACAAGGGCCCAGAGTTTATTTTTTTATACTGGGAAAAGACGAGAAACATTTGAAAGTATTTTCCTATGTTTTGAATTTATTTGATTTCATTGCTTTCTCCTGAAATGAGTCCAATTGTATTTGTCTCTTATTATATCCGTACCTTATTTCAACAGTTATTTTTAGCAATAAGCCGCAATACATCTAGAAAGGAAATGTTAAAATGTGAACCCAACTTCCTATTTGTTAGAGCTTATTGTAATTTTACTTTTTTCCCGACTATAATCCTCACTATAATAAATTTTTTATCTCCGTACTGTTCTCTACACAAAATACAATCAGCAATTGATTTCTCAGCTTTTAATTTTTGCGTTTGCCCTCCCATGCAGCGTAACCGCTGCATATACGTTTTCAATTAATTTTACGCAAACATATTCACTGATTCATAATGGTCTCGTTTGTGAAGCGAGAGTCATTGACGGAAAGAATACATTTTGGTCTCTAAAATAAAAAAAATGATAAGTGGCACTGTATGTATACTTGTCATAATCTAATTGAGTGCTTGGTTTTATTTCCAAAAAAAAAAAAAATGAAGAAGGTTTACAATATACTGCAATACTATTTCTGGAATTTAAGCGTTCTCGGTTTGATGGATTACATACGTGTTTGATATGTACCGACAGCGCCGTTTTAAAACCAATGCATCTAGATATGAGTCTTTACGTTATTATATTGAAGGCGACGCGTTTGGGAAAAGACTAAGTTTCTGAAGTTGTGTTGAGCATCATATGGTGCACGTCAAATTTTCTGTTCTTGAAAATTTGGAAAGTCCATTTTTTACACATACTTCTCTCTCCTTTATTAAAGCAGTAATCAGATTGTAGTCTACATTCACACTTAAAAGTAAGTTACTGAAAATAACTAAGATATTTTGAAAGTGTTGTCGCCTTTGATTCAGTTATGTTTGCGCCGCCTTGTTTATAATCGGTGTGCCTTGATAATGTAATAATGATATTTTGGAGTGCTGTAATAAGAATGTATCGTGATATGAATCATAGGGACTCAATCTTATTAATCGGCTGAAATATGTCTTTTCCGAGCAAGATGGAACTGTTTTTGCAAGAGTATTTCTTTAACCTTATTACTCGAAGAGAGCCGAGTAAGTAGGTACACTTCTGTTATATTTTGTAAAGGAATTTGTACTGCGTAGTTTTATTCTATTGTTTTCGTATTTAATGCGTTGTTTTGAATTGTAATTATATATCTGATGTAAACGCATTGTTGGTTAGTTTTACTCTGTTCTTTTCAAGTGTCGTGCAATACTATCCTCAAGAATCTACTCAGCCCAGCTGAATAAAACATTCTTGCAGAACGGGAAAATCTGCGAAACTCTGAAACGCGCAAAATTAATGTCCTGAGTTCACTGGTGATAAGTATCCATTAAATTTTCACCATTTTTCATGGTCTTAAGCCAATACAATATCTATGCGAATTGCAATAAACTGAAGTTTTTATTTAATTCATACAAATATATTTGAAAAGATAATCTGCAGGAAATGTATATGTAACTTCACAAAGTGGGTATGTTGATCCCTTAAGTCGAAAAACAAGTACCGAAATGCATATTTTGTCAGAATTCTAAATTTTACCGCAATAAGCGTTGGAGTACACCCCTAAAATTTTCAAGAGGAATCGCTGAATGAAGTACCTATCTTTTGTTTGCCTGTTCTTTGATTATAATTTGAAATTAAGGCAAAAACGTTTAAATGTCAAAATACCTAAAGTATCAGCTTCCAAAGCATGACATCAGTATTCTCTAAAATACAAATTTGAAACTAGGTGATCCCCTCAACAAAAATAAAGCAAATCACTCCTTCCCTGTTTGTTACTACACTTGAGGATAGATTCATTGTTTCATAGAGAAGTTTCATTCTTTATTATTTATTTTGTTTAATACTTGTAAAAATCTATATATTTATATTTTCAATGTTGATATTAAAATAATATAAATAGTTTATATTTCACTTTATAAATTATTTAAAAAAAAGAAAACAAATAAAAAATATTGATTAAAATATCGTTTCAATTAATTTTCTCGCTTTAGAAACCTGTACCCATTCATTTTCCATTTCCTTCTTTTGATTGATCAAATCAGTTTTCTCAAACTGTGGTCCGCCGCACACTGGAACGAGTCAATGGGAGAAGTTGGACAAAATCTGGAAACTTTGAAAGCTTATATTTTTGGAATTACAAAACAAAAAAGTTTAAGTGGTTTCATTGGTTCTGTCCTAAAATTTCCTTATACACGGAGACATCCCTTGAAATTAAATTTGTGACAAAGTAAACGTCAAAATTTGAAATTTTAGCGAAAAATTTCGTGTCCAATCTCTTCAATTAGCCCGTTCCACTCTGCGCTCAACCAAAGCCCAATTCACACTATCAAACTTTCCATCCAACATAATTGAACAGAAAGTTGGATGCAAAAAAATTTGATTCAATTATCGTTGCAGTGTGATATCACCAGCCTAGTTCGCGAAAATACTGCTTCGGCTCGTGTCGGTCGGAAGATTTTGTTCCAACTTTTCGTTCAACTTTCTAAAGTTGAAAGAAAAGTTGAGTGTGACGTCACATTCAAGTTTCCGTCCAATCTTTCATCAAACTGTATCTCACTATCCAACTTTTCATTCGACAAGTTGTATCCAAGAGTTGGATGAGAAGTTTGATAGGTGGTATGAATTGGGCTTTAAATAAACACGGCAGGGGAAAAAGGAAAATAGGATCAAGAAAATGAGATGAGAGCCGAAGTAGTATTAGTGATGGCAGTAGTTCAAAAAATATAATATTTCTTAGAATCTGATCTCAACTAACTGAATTTAACAGAAACAAAGCAAAGCAAGTTACACATTAAGAAAAAAATGAGTTAGGAGTGATTCTAATCCAAACTGACCGCACATTTTCTCTTGTTAATATTTTAAAGTTGAGAAAAAATATTCCGAATTTTTCTAAATATGTTGATATATATCTCTATATATAGTCTAAGTCGAGTTTAATCTATCTGTATGTCGCAGGCAAATAGTCAAATATTCTAACTTAAATTGAAATTCTGATTCTTTTCCTAATTCAGACACTGTAATTCATTGCTCCTGCAAGAAAAAATTATCGGTAAAAATTTGCACACACAATAGTATTTTAAACAATTTTTGGCTCTTGAAGAGACACTGATTTTGAAATTTTCAGCAAATCGTAGAATAAAAATTTTTTGGAATTTCAACATTTAAAAATATGAGGAGCAATTGAGGAGGAAGAGACAAAAGAGTTCGTAGGTTTGTTGAGTTATTTTTCAAAAAATTGTGAAAAATCGTGAGCTCTTCGCCATAAATTCACAAAATTTTGTAGACCGTCGAAATTTGACTATCTGGCTAAGCATTTGACGAAATGCCTGATTTCACTGCTTGCCTGCGACATCTAGGTATATCTCTAACCACTGCGTACTATGGAGGAATAAAACTTAGATCTTCTACTTCTTGGTTCGTTCTTCATGTCGCTTTCTTTCTGTCAAGTTCTGTCCAAATGCACCTCCCTAAAGACTCCTTGCCTTCTCGTCTCTCTAGTGAGTATGACGAATTTTCACCGCTAAGTAAATCCACCGGGTTATTTTCAGAAAAAAACATGATCACTATAAAACTCTGATGAAATTGCACTCCAAAATCAGCGACCGTTTTAATGATATGTGTGAATGTCTTGTTGGTCCAATCTGTTCATATGCCATTAATACCATGTTAGTGTACAATGCTCAATGGTTTTTAGTTCGAAAATGAGCATTCTTTCCCACGCTGCGGGCTGATTGTTAAAATTGACATACAAAGCGATAGACACAGAAGACTTGGTTGAAATGGGTGGTTCTCAGAGACCAAGAGGGGAGATGATGGACTAACTATGGAGTCTCAAGTAGGTTGGCGTTGGGCAGTCTATTACCTACCTCTGTTGTCCATTGCAACCACCCGCTTCCACCAATAGGATCCCTCCTTATCCCTTTTGACTCCTTTGTCTATAAATTTCAACAATCAGCCCGCAGGTCGGAAAATAAAAATTAGCATCATTTCTAGCTAATAATCTGAATAAAAAAAACCAATCAATGAAGTAGGTAAATAGGATTGGTGTATTGCCGTGCTAAGAAAAAACGCCGTATGAACCATCAGGCGTTGCCAAATTTTCTAGTGAACTTGTGAATATTTTTTTTCCAATTTTTCAGATAATTTCGTTCCCAATCTCACCTAAAGTTTCTAAAAATTTCAAGGAAAAATCTGCATAACGTTCCTCATAAATAAACATTTTATCAAAGGAAATTTGGCTACTCTCGAATGTTCATACGGCGTTCTTCCTTAGCACGGCTGTGTAGGTATCTATAAAAAAACTGGAGTTATGCATTTTTTTTCTCGTAATTTATTTCGATCGATGTATTTACACTATTATACAAAACATGATTTGAATAAAAATAATATGTTAAAACTTAAAGAGACACATTAGTTTTGCAGCGGGGGAATTATTTTTCTAAGCGTGAATCCACCGAAATTAAGTCTTATTTACTCTTGGAAGATTAAAATAAAAAAGATGAAAAGGTACGCGACTCTACACTCGAAATTGCCATTTTATGGCTTGTTTTACAAAACTTACAATACATTTTTGACTTAGTCAGTCACTGATTCCGCAAACTGATCAGTTTACTGGAAGAACGAGGCAGTAAAATAATTTGCTCCTGTATGTCCTCCAGTACAGACATCATTAAGATCAACTCGCGGGAAGAAAAATTGCATGAATCATAAGTTAAGTATAACATTTTCAAAATACATGAACATCGCCGGAAGTATCGTCAGAAGTATAACTATCGGCTTTCTAGCTTTCAGCTCTCTGATAAAAAAAAAGCCCGAACAGGCTGACCCTACCTTTCAACAGTTTAGTAGATCAAGAATGAATTATGTAAAACTAAGCATTTTTTCTCTCTATTCCTGAATAAGGAGATACGATACATTGAACATTTCAAGTATTTTTCTTTACCTGAATCATTGAGAAAATTCGCAATTTAAAAAAAAAAAATGATACATAAATGGTTTTTTAAGTGCAAATTTGCAACGAATGTTCGCTCCGCCATCTATGACCGGTTCAAATTTTGTCGACGATTTGAGAATTCATACACTAGAAGTAGGTGTGTTGCCTCTCATACTATGGTTGTTAAAGTTAAGGTAAAGTTACGCGCCTGCCTCAAGTTATCGATATCACTCGTCATGATAGCTATGCCTTAAGTAACCTTAAGTATACGCGTTGCATAGCTACCTTAGCAAGAGACATCTTTGACCTAACTACGTAGCTGCAGAGCAGATAACATCAGCTTCAACAACCGCCGCACAGAAGATCGAGACAATAGGAGAGGTCGGACAAAATGTGGAACCTTTAAAAGCTTAAAACTCCGTTTATACAAAACTTTGAGGTTCTAAAAGTGATTCCATTGGTTTCCTTGAGAAATTTGCATTGCGTAGCACCCCTTGAACTTTAAAATGTTACGAAATGAATATCAAAATTCGCAGTTTTTGTCAAACATTTCAAGTCCGACATCTCTAATTGAATCGATCCACTGTGCGCCGTGTATAAGCGCGCTTTTTCTCAGTGTAAGACATTTCTCGACTCTAATCTCACAGAATTCGGCAGAGAAGGAAGCAGAAAAGGAATAAGAGTGAGAGAAGGAAGAAGAATACAAATGAAAATAAATTAAGGGCATTTTTCCAAAGTGCATTTAATGCAGCTCGAAACGGAAATTCTCATCATCGAGGAAGAGGTCCATTCGAGCGCAAATTTTCCCTCGAAGAGATATGCTGTTTGGTGGAACACTACGACGGTGTAAATCCACCACGTATTTCGTTTGCGGTGTTGGAAAATCTCCGTCGCTACGTTATTTTCTACAGGAGAACAAATTCACGTCATACCTTTAAGTTTTTGCAGAATTTTTTTCGCATAAAGAAGAAAAATCACGGCAGTTTTAAAGAACTGCTGTTGAGTAGTTTTCTACTTAAAAAATAAAATATGACAGGAAGTCTGCGAAGTCGCAAACTGAGTTATGTAATTGCCGACTTACATCGTCGATATGCGTTTCACGCCGACCGGCGACCGCACTGTGTTTGGCGCAATGCGTGAAGTATTCTTACACTTTCGTAGGCGCTACTATGCGTTCGGCGAGGACCAACGACCGCACTGTGTTCAGCGCAATGCGTGAAGTATTTCTGCACTTTCGTAGGCGCTACGGACAACCGCAGGCAAATCGAGATTCGTGGTTGTGGACTCACAGCGTCGACGAGTTGCAACCTATCAGGAAGGTGACTCTGGACGCACTTCGGTACTCTTGGTCCCTTCATTAGTGCAGCGCCAACCTGTAGCTTAATTATACTGCTGTGCTGAGGGAAAACGCCGTATGAACGTTCAAGAGTTGCCAAATTTCCTTCGATAAAATGTTTACTTTTGAGGAAAGTTACGAGTATTTTTCCGAGAAATTTTCAAGAACTTTAAGTAGAATTGCGAACAGATTTATCTAAAAAATTAAAAGAAAAATGTTCACAATTTTTTCCAAAAATCCGTGATTTACTATAGGAAATCTGGCAACGCCTGAAGATTCATACGGCATTTTTCCTTAGCACGGCAGTATAGTGTACTAAACAGCATATCCCTTCCAGGCAGTACTCGAAAGATCTTTTTCAGATACTCTCTCTCGTCCGCGCAGGAATCCTCCTTTCTCCCCATCAAAATTGGACGTTTATCTCCTCTTCTGTTGCTCCTTTTGTAACTTTTTTACTAACTTTCGTTTCTTACTCACTGTTTTCTGTTGTCTAACTTTTATACGTCCACTGCTTTTGTAATCTTTTGTCAGTAAAGATCGCTTGAAAAAAAAAAAAAAAAAATACTACTGCTCTGTTGATGGGCCGGTGGTTGGTTGGGTTCAGAAGAAGTGTTTCTCCTTCTTGGGCTCGCTGGAGATGAGCTCCTTGCGCTTCCAGATGGTGCTCTTGGAGCGGGCCTGGGGGACGGGTCCGGAGACGGAGCCGGCGGTGGCCCTGGACGTGTCCTCCTTGATTAAATGCTTGGTGGCGTGGCGCGTGTCCACGTAGCTCCTGCCGCTCCCGCTGCTCTTGGGCCCCGCGGCGGCCCCCGAGCCGGAGCCGGAGCCGAGCATCCGCTCGATGTCGGCCGTCTTGGAGCGGAGAACCGCCCCGCCGATGCTCGAGATGCTCGCCGGCGCCCGCTCTTGACTCTTCGGCGCCGCTTTCTTGCCCACCGACCACGAGCTGCTCGACACCGCTGACGAGGACGCACTCTTCGCCACCTTACAGCAAAACCAAAAAACTAATCAGTACAGGTTCCAAATGAGGGGTTTCAGGACTTTCCGTCAACGATTTTTTGTCCGCGCACCTGTTTTGTCCAGTAGTTTACATCCATGCGTATAATAAGCAACAGTGACTTGGTTCAAGCCTTATGGACCGCGTTAAATAGAAAGGAACCAAGCCACATCAGCTATTGCCAAATTTAATTGGGCAATTTAATTTTTTATATGAAAATGTTTCTGCGGATTTTCGTGAAAATTGAAGTGAGAATTCTCCATATTTTGAAGGAAATGACTTCAAAATTTCAAAGGAATTCGCACAAACGTTCTCTCGTAAAAAATTGTATTGCCCAGTTACATTCCGCAATAGCTGATGTGGCTTGGTTCCTTTCTGCTAAACTCGGTCCATATTTAAGTCCGATTTTAAAATTATATCGACAAAATTGAAATGAGAAAATTGAAAGAGAAGGAGGTGTTGTTATGGTAACTCATTTCTTAAATGAAATGTTACTTTCTTCTTGTGATTCATCTCAGTAAAACGTAGCAAACATTTGTAAAACATTTTCAAGCGATGGCATCAATATTAATCTCAAAGAGTCGTGTGTTGAAAGGAACCGTACCAAAATGAATAAAAGAGGGGAAAAAACCAAAAAGCACGCAATCTTTGGTTGTAACCCATTTGTACATCGATCTGTTAGAATCAAATATGTCCAATTTTGAGAGTTTGGTTGCGCTGCAGCACAGTAAAAGCACAAAATATGAAAGAAAAAATTAGAGGGCTTTGAAAATCATTAAATTTGACACGGAATCACCTTAATATTTACAGAATACATAATATATTTTCCTTTTTTCCTTAATATATTTTTTCATCAATTTAAATGAGAATAGTCCATGCAGAGTGTGCATGAATTTCTAAATCATGAGTTTAAAAACGCTGACTGCGAGTTTAAATATTAGCGCCGAACAGAGCGAAGCGGCGTGCAGCCAGCGCGAGAGGCTCACTGGCGCCTACAAACCTAAGTAGATACTTCACGCATTGCGCAATGTTTGAAGTATCTACTTAGGTTTGTAGGCGCTAGTGAGCCTCTCGCGCTGGCTGCACGCCGCTTCGCTCTGTTCGGCGCTAATATTTAAACTCGCAGTCAGCGTTTTTAAACTCATGATTTTGAAATTCATGCACACTCTGCATGGACTATTCTCATTTAAATTGATGAAAAAATATATTAAGGAAAAAAGGAAAATATATTATGTATTCTGTAAATATTAAGGTGATTCCGTGTCAAATTTAATGATTTTCAAAGCCCTCTAATTTTTTCTTTCATATTTTGTGCTTTTACTGTGCTGCAGCGCAACCAAACTCTCAAAATTGGACATATTTGATTCTAACAGATCGATGTACAAATGGGTTACAACCAAAGATTGCGTGCTTTTTGGTTTTTTCCCCTCTTTTATTCATTTTTGTACGGTTCCTTTCACACGACTCATTGAGATTAACACACATACAAGAGCTAATTGTTGACATTTTATTTTGTCGCCCGGGACAGACAAGCCTAAGAACTAGGACTAAGAACAACGTTATGTGATTGGTCGGCTTTATCAGTCGTCCTCATTGTCGTGCTGAAGTCAGGTGATATGCTATTGGCAACTTATGAGGTTGCTTTCAGGTGTCATTGGTTCAATCTGACATAGGCACGATGAAGCCAACGACTGATAATGCTGGTCGATGAAATGACTGATTTCCTCCTTTAACTTGTATGGTCTGGTTGACAAGCCCAAAATTTCAACAAATACGAATTCAATGCAGAGACGAATCTCAATAACTGTTTAAAACTACCCAAAATGTTTTTTTGTTTTTTTCCTTCTCTCTTTTCATTGAGAGGCTGAAGCCCTCTCTATAGTTCTTATAGGTTAACTTCAGCCTTAGTCGCTAGACAAACAGCCACCGCACTTGGTAAGTACACAATGACACATCCATCCTCCATACTTTAAAATTTACATCGAGCCTGATGAGTATCTGTTACTGCTGATCCACTCGTCCCTTCCTTGATTTATAGCCACCACTGAGACTCGAACCCGTGACACATTGGTCTGGAGTCAGACGCGCTGACTACTAGACCAACCAGCGGGCTGATTGTTGAAATTGATAGACAAAGAAGACATAGGGAGTATACAGCGATCCTATTGGTTGCATTTGATGGTTACTATAGACAAGAGGAGAAAATGATGGACTAACTATAGGAACTCTCGTGGGTTGCCGTTAGTCTTTGCCTACCCTCTTTGTCCATTGCAACCACCTGCTTCCGCCAATAGGATCCCTCCGTATCCCTTTCGTCTTATTTGTCTATAGCTTTGTCTACCAATTTCAACAATGAGCCTGCTGGCGGCTTAAAATGTAGATATAGTATCCCAACTCTAGTCCTGTTCAACATAGACCACCGCCACGAATCTACATAAATAGTTTTGGAAGAATATTTAGATTACTCTAACTAACTAACACGTCGCTCTTACATCGCTTCTGTGCGCTCTGCGACACCCAACCGCCACTGATTGCGATCCTGTCAGAGCTCCTCCGGCAGATCGCATCTCCTCATTTCTTGCCTTATTCCCTCACGGAGAAAAAAACTTCGTGCGTGGGACCCGAAGTTTAGGTCATATGGATCTCTGAAGTTTTCGGATTGAGCATCTGAACACTTTAGGTCCAGCTGCTGAGGTTCGGATCACACATCTGAAACTTCAGTTCTTACATCTGAAGTACTTCGGTTTTCACATCCGAAAAACTTCGGTTCTCACATCCGAAAAACTTCGGTTCTCACATCCGAAAAACTTCGGTTCTCACATCCGAAAAACTTCGGTTCTCACATCTGAAGTAGGTACTTCAGATGTAAGAACTGAAGTTTTAGATGTGTGATCCGAACCTCGACAGCTAGACCTAAAGAGTTCAGATGCTCAATCCGAAAACTTCAGAGATCCATAAGACCTAAACTTCGGGTCCCCCGCACGAGGTTTTTTTCTCCGTACTCAATCCACGATTTGGCAGGGCGTCCTCTACGCTAGATTACTCACCTTGTTTTTATCCTCCTTGCCCGAGGAGATCTTATAGACGAAGGAGCGGGCTGGCTTCTCTGGCGGGATAACGATGCGGGAGACGATGGGCTCGGGGATGTAGTTGACGGAGGAGATGGCCGAGTCGGGGGAGTTGGGCGGGCTGGAGGCCCACGAGGGCGGGGAGGTGAGGCCCAGCTCGGAGCCGGAGCTGAGGCTGCAGACGGAGGAGGTTGTGTTCCCAGGGGGGCTGCTCACACCGTGGGCCTCGTAGCCCGGGCTCAGTTGCTGCGGCGTGGACAAGTAGTAAGGTGGAGATGTTGACGAGGAATCGCTGTCCGTTGGCAGTTTCCCACGCATCGAGAGCAGTTGCACTGGTAGTCGACAACCTGATACAAGAACAATGAGAATAAACCACAAGAACGAAAACAATTTTCAATACCACGGGATACGTAGATCGCATTTTGCAAAAAGGAACCAGAAGCGTTGCAATGATGCTAAGATTGCGCATTTTCATCCTTTGTAATGAAATTACTAGAATCATGAGAAAAAATGAAATTTATATGGTAATTTTTGTCGAAATTTACAGTTTTTAGCGAGTAAGATAGAAACAGTCAATAAATAATCAGTCTCGAGTTAGGTTACTTAACCTCGGGTTAGGTTAACTTATTTTGTCTTGACAGAATAAGTTGCGCAATCTTTGCAACATTGCAATGCTCCAGAATCCTTTTTACAAAATTCCTTTTTCCAAGGAAAGAAAACCTCGAGTTAGGTTAACTTATTTTGTCTTGACAAAATAAGTTGCCCAATCTTTGCAACATTGCAGTGCTCCTGATTCCTTTTTGCAGAATGCAATCCATGTGTCCTAATCAAAATGGACCACTAGACAAGATACCAAGTCAATCATTCTGCTACTTGTTTCCTAACCAAAATGTCACATAGAACACGATTTGCGGAATGAAAAGGAGAGGTCGATCGTTAAGAGCCTTTTTGGGCCCACTCTGAAATTCCTCAACTCCGTTGAATGCGTTTTCACAAGCGGGAGGTTTGAATTCACGCGTCAAGAAACATTAAATATCTAAGTTAGGAGTTAATTTTAGTGTATGATACACTGAAATCAACTCCTAACTAAGTTATTTAATGTTTCTTGACGCGTGAATTCAAACCTCCCGCTCGTGAAAACGCAATAGTCGATACGTGAGTCAAAGCGCACTCTAAACTTTCCTATGACAATCTCTGCGATATGAAAATGTGGAAACCTTAATCTTAATCTTTAACTCAGCTGTATATCAAATTGTGTACGCTTTGAACGATAAAGAGTGAGAAAGGAACACTTTTCGTTTGAGAAGCCTACCAAAACTGTTGTGAGGCGTGACTTGACTTGCGTAGAGAAATGCGTTTCTTGTGACCAGGCAATTCAAAATTTCCGTAACCAATGTAAAATAAAAACGTTTTTATCTTGGTAAGGAATTGATTTCAGTAATTTTCAATGCAAGAATCGTGTCCTACGTGAATGTCTAATTGAGAAAAATGTATAAGAATGCTTAAATCTGCACCTTGTCTAGTGGTCCGTCGTATGCACCTGTTAGCGGCCAAACCCGATTTTAGGCCAACCTAAAATATGTTGTAAGTCAATTTTTTCTAATCGCTTCTAAAAATGTATCATCTTTTTAGTAGTAGATTGTACCAAGTAAAATATGATATTATTCTTCGGAGATTCCTACTGAAATTATGTATCTTTCATCGTGATAGACAGCCAATATCACATGATCTAACGGTGCTATCATGCTATCAATATACGAGGTCTGTTAGATTAGAAACCGGATTTTGGTCATAACTACCCCATAATGCGTCCAAATTACGTTTTCTTGAGCTCTTCTGATAGCTGGAAATATACTTAAGAACGCTACGTTTACAGATTTTGTTTATTTTGATCAGTGTTTATTCTGGGTCATCTTGAATACGAGTAAGTCAGGTGCGTTTTGCGATTTTCATCATGCGATCACTGATAGAACAAAGATTCAACATTAAATTTTGTTTTAAACTCGGTATACCTTGTACCAAAACTTTTGGTATACGCTAAGTAAAGTTTACCATGATCATTGTATGGGATGTTCCCACTGTTTTGAATGAGTTAAACGATTCAAAACTGGTCAGGAGTTTGTCAAAGATGAGGAGCATGGGAATCGACCCTCAACGGCAACTGACATTTGTCACGTGGAAGAAATGCGGGCAAAAGTGCTCGAAAACGGTCGTTTCGAGCTTGTTGAACAGTGTAATATTTCTGAAGGCTCTGTACATACAATTTTGATAGAATATGTAGACACGCATCGAGTTTCAGGTACACTTGCCCCTTGATTGTCGTCCGTTGAACGAAAATCCAACCAAATGTCAATTTCCCTTTAGCTGCTTGAACGTTCTAACAGTGATCCTACATTTTTGGATAGGATAATTTTCGGTGACAATATTTTAGTGTACGGCTACGATATGGAGACAAAACTCCAATCGTCCCTTGTGGGTTGAAAAATGTAGTGCAAGACCGAAAAAAGAGAGGCAAGTTCGGTGAAACATAAAAATCGCAAAACACCCTTGAGGTTGCCTTACTTCAAGCCACATACCAACGAAGCTCATTAGGATTTTTCAAACTTATGAAAGTAGCGTTCTTAAGTATATTTCCAGCTATCAGAAAAGCTCAAGAAAACGTAATTTGGACGCATTGTGGGCTAGTTATGACCAAAATCCGGTTTCTAATCTAACAGACCTCGTATCTAGGTAAAATGCTATGATTAGTCCAAGTCACTAAATAGGCCATTCTCAACACCTGACTTTAATATATTGATAGCAACGTTTGATCGTGTGATGTAAGCTTCTTGCCACTTGAGCCTTGAAAAATCTTGAAGCCAAAAGAATCTTACTCATACCTCATAAGAATTCCGCCTTAGTGAACGGAAACACGGAACCACCAATATTTAAAAAACAAACATTAAATTATTATTCTCCTTTGATAAATTGGTACATATTTTTTTCCCATCAATTTAAATGAAAATAATCAATGCAGAGTGTGCAAACATTTCAAAATCATCAGTTAAAAAACGCTGACTATGCGAGTATAAATATTACAACCTAACAGAGCGGAGCGGCGTGCTGCCAGCACGAGAGGCTCACTGGCGCCTACGAACCTAAGTGGATACTTCACGCATTGCACAATGCTTGAAGTATCCACTTAGGTTTGTAGGCGCCAATGCGCCCTGGCCGCCCGGGCGCTGTGCGGCGGCGCCTGAAGCAACTATTTCACGACAGAAGTGTTGCACAGTATTATACGAAATTGAACGTATTAAGAATGACAGGCATCCTTTAAAAGTACAGATCTTTCCTCGCAAAATAAATCAAGATACTTATCGTACACAGGAAAAATCTAAGAGCCTTTAGCTGAGGCAATTATAGCGGTTTATCCGGTTCAGGTATAACAAGGTGGAAATTTCTTGAAAGATAATTAAGTCCTGTTACACCAAAGAGATGTAGAGAGTTTTAGTGAATTTTGTCTCATGGAATTGGCGCTCCCCCATTTTTACCAAAACTCTCAACTACATATATGTATCCGTTGGACCAAACAGACAAAACAAAAAAAACAAACAAACCCTCATTCTTCCAAGACATTATACATTTTCTTCCAAAAACGTCGTGAGCAATTGTCGTGAGCAATTGTCGTGAGCATTTGTCGTTTGTACTTACAAGTGGGCCAATTATCTTTGGGTCTCAACTGGCACGTGGACCAAAACTCCCGTGCCGAAAAAACGCGTGGACGTAAATTACTGGAAAAAACAGGTGCGCGGACAAAAAATCGTTGACGAAATGTCTTATAACCAAATGAGCTATTGTTGTCTGAGCAATCTGATTTGTTCATCATGTAGAAGTGTTGGATGTTATAGACATGGGAAAGATTTCCGTTTCTTTTTTCAATGTTTTTTAGTTTTCACTATCATGCTTTTGAATATGATTGAGAGTTAAATTAAAATTATGTGGACATCACTAAGTAAAAGGCATCTTATTACATAGGAATGTTCGAAAAAGTATACCCTTTAAAGGATTAAAAAATAATATACTTTTTAAACTTTCTCTGAAGACAGATTCCTTTTACTGAATGAAGTCTGCGTTAGGTTAGGTTTTAAGCACCGTAAGAAAACAAAAAAAAAATATTGGTTTGATTCAATAACGTGCGTTAGAGTTTGCTGAATGAATTGATGTTCTTGCAGAGCGAGAAACGTTTCTCCTGTCAAAAAAAAAAATAAAAAACCGACGCAATGCATGAAAGCACGTTTTCTACTTTAACAAAAACAATTCCTTCAGAAATCCGATCTCCCAATGAACATTAGGAGTATACTTGAGATCAGGATATTTGGCTCATTCGTTTCTTAAACTCGTTAATATAATCCGAAGAAAAAAAACACGCAAGGTTTTTGGATGTCTCCTCCTTTTGGATCTGCTTCGTCGCAACATGTCCATTTAATAAATAGACTACCTCAATAGAAGCGACAGCTTCGTAAGAACCAATGTTAACATTTATCTTCCCAGGGTCGGTCAATCTTCGCTTCGCACTTATTGACACCTGATTTGAGACTAACCTACGATTATAAAATTGGAACTGAACATACAACTTTAGCCAACTTTACAGTACTCCTCCGGATTAATGGAAGAGTAGTGTAAAAAATATATTTTAATTTCTAAAAACGTCTGTAACCGTTATTGTTCGGCCTCTCCAGAGCGTTGGCATGCCGCAGACGCAAACATGACTTGTTCGCTCAGTTTCGTTTCGATGACATTAAAATGGTGGTGGTTTTCGCCTCTGTTGACGTAGTCTATTTATTCTATGACATGGCCGAGAGCGAAAAAATCTTAGAAAATAAGGAACTTACTATCATGAGTTGACTGCCTCAAACTCTCAGCTGATATGTGTCCGGAGTCTTCTATGTAAGGAATATCACTATCGTCTAAATTTAGCGCTAACGTCGTCGACGGTCCTCTCGGAGCCGATATTTTCAAACTTCCTGTAATAGCATCTCCCAAGTCTTCACTCCCATTACTCTGCAACATAGATTCAAAGTGTGTTGCGGAATATTGCAAAGTCTGAAAGTTTACCCAATAGCGTTTTAAAATTCACCGCCTTTAGGTTTTGGAAGATATGACTTGAATCGATCCTTTTAAATTCTACACAAATCTTACAGTTCCCAGTTCCCCGCGAAAAATGTTCAAAATCTTGCTCTTAAAAATTGTAAAACTCCAATTTTCAGTTCGATATAGTCTTCACGTGATTTATTTCAATTACTTTAATTTTTTCTCTCCTCTAACCATTTTCCCATTACTCTGCAACATAGATTCAAAGTGTGTTGCGGAATATTGTATAGTCTGAAAGTTTACCCAAGAGCGTTTAAAAATTCACCGCCTTTAGGTTTTTGGAAGATATGACTTGAATCGATCCTTTCAAATTCTTTACAAATCTTACAGTTCTCAGTTCCCCGCGAACAATGTTCAAAATCTTGTCCTTAAAAGTTAGAAATCTCCAATTTTCAGTTCGATAACGTCTTCACGTGATGTATTTCAATCACTAAAGTTTTTTCTCTCCTCTGCTTCTATTAATAATGAAGAAATATGGTCATGGACAAGATTATCTTTCTGCTCTTTTCGCCATCACAAACATTTTAAGATGTAAACCGTACATCATTTTGAACTATCTGTAAGTCTCTTTAAAAACAAAAATACAACAAAATTGAACATTTCTTCGCAGATCCTCAAATAACTATTTCTTTGGTCTGGCTTCAAGCTAAATTGTCTTCTTTGAGAGAGGCGCAGAGAGTTTGAAAAGCTTAAGTCGTTTGTAAATAAAACTGCAAAAGCTCAAAAATATGCGTGCGATTCAATGTTGAAACTCGACCCTGATGACAAAATTTAGTAGTGAAAAACATGTGAGCACGTGCAAGAGATTACTTTAAAAATGTTAAATGTCAATAATTCAGAGCTAGCATTTTCACACATTTTGTGTGAAATACCATACCTGGGGAATGAAATACTATAAGTATCGCATTTGCTTTGATTGACCATACTACCGTGATAAGGAAAAACGCCGTATGAACCTTCAGGCGCTGCCAAATTTCCTCTCATAAAACGCAAATTTTCTGGTAAACTTATGAATATCTTCCTCCTAATTTTTCAGATAATTTTGTTCGCAATTCCACCTGAAGATTCTGTAAATTTAAAGGAAAAATATGCATACCTTTCCTCAAAAATAAACATTTTATAGAAGTAAATTTGGTGACTCTCGAATGTTCGTACGGAGTTCTTCCTTAGCAAGGCACACACAGATAATGGTTTGAAAGCTCATTTTTGCACCGCATTTTCTCTCAAGAAAGATTTCCTCGATTTTTTTTAATTGCAATTAAGCAGGCGATTCGCAGTTTTAAGACCGTCACTTTCACGTGCACAGAAACTTGAGATTGTATTCGGCAAATCTTTAGGTGAGTCAACTGAATTCGCCAAATGTATTACCTGCTGGAAATGAGCGCTGGGGCGACGTCCGAAGTCCGCTAACCTGACGTCATCTGGGTGCGATGATGATGATTTCCTTAAGGATAGTCCATCCGGCCGCCGGGTTTCGTCTCTAGATCGTCTTTTAGCCCGCTCTGCTACTCTCTCGTGCCTGAAAAATTAAAAGACCGTCAGAGGCGGATCCAGCAATTTGGCAACACCGGATTTCCTCCATTTCAATCTATGCTAAATAATCGATTCTTGTCAAAGTACCTGGCCCTTCCAAGGTTCGATACATTTCCGTAGGTTTAAATGGAGAAAAGATACTGTTGCCAATTTGCTGGATCCGCCAATGAAGACCACATTGTAGAACGGGATAATCGATGGGAAAACGTGTCATTGCAGCGATGCAATGCTAAGATAAACGCAGTAGGAGCATTCAAATGTTGTCCAATTTCCTCTCGGAAAATTTTTATTTTTGAACAAAGTTATGAATATTTAACCTTGAAATTTTCAGAATTTATATTTCAGATTATAAACGATATCCTCTAAAAAATCGGAAGGCAAATATTCGCGTATTTTTCTGAAAATTCAACGATTTGTCGAAGGAAATTTGGCAACGCCTGATTGCTCACACGGCTTTTTCACTTAGCACGGCAGAACAGCAGTGACTTTTTCGCATGAACAAAGGTTGAGGTGGACGGAACAAAAGCCAGTCACATTAAAATAAAACCGAAAAAAATCTGTTTGAAGTTGAATTCTTCCATTTGGTTCAAGTTAAACATTCATGTTAATTTTCACTTTCAAAATATTTTTTGACTCAGCATTTTTCACTCGAGAAAATGTGCAACTAAGATAAAACAAATTCTTGACTTATTTATTTCCAATATTGTTTTTTTTGTTTGGGTTTCGCTCTATATGGCGTGATTTCTTTCTATGTAATTCAATGCAAGTTTAAAAGGCGAAGTTAAATATACACTGCAGTGTTGTGGTTAATATGTATTTTTTTACAATCTCCTTTGTAGACGGATTATGCCGTGATAACAGTGATTGTATAATTCATTTTTTGAATAGTGATAAAGCAAAGAGGGATAATGCCTCGTCTTCTTTTTCAAGGATAGTGATTGGTGCCAGTCAAATCAGGTTTTGGCCGCGCAAGGCGACAAGCAACTATATTAACGCCGATGCGGTCAAATTGCCTACCCGGCATTTTGAAGGAATTTCGTATCGTCAGATTCAACTCAACTGCAGCCTGATCATTTACCTTCCTAGTTCCGGGTGATGGATACGGCATATCTATCTTTTGGGGCGTTCTATCGCTTGTTAAGTCGCCGACCATTTACCTCGTATCTATTCCACCAGCTCAAGATGGATAAGTTTATCTAGAGATACGACAGATGCGGTCCGCGGTGCTTCGCGATCTAACTGAGAAGATTTTTTTCTTTTCAAACAAACACGACTCATTCCTCCATCTCTGCAGAAAAAGGAGTAGGTAACTTTACGCCCGTAAATGTGGACATCATAACCTCAAATGCCCGGAAAATTAAGAGCACGACTTATAAGCACGATTTCCGTACTTTATGGTGGTTTTTGCGGGAAACACAAAAATACAGGGACCTTCATTTATTAATTTTTTAAAATTTCACCTAACTTCTCATCCAATCACTCGGAGAGTGCCTTAACTCTTGGATGCTGCAGACTTTCGATAATATACTTCACAAGCTTTACACGGTCCACTTGTGGCTGCATCTGCTGTTGTGTTAGCCTGTTCTCATGGCAGCCTCTCCAACGCCTCTCCAACCAACGCTCGGCGCACACCGGGCTCAAAACTCGTCGACCAGAACATGGTGCCAGCTCTGCCGTACTGAGGAAAAATGCCGTTTGAACATTCGAAGAGTATTATACGCATTTTCTCTCGAAATTTTCAGATACTTTAGATCTGGTCGCGAATAAAATTCTGTGAAAAATTCAAAGAAAAATGTTCACAAATTTCCCTGAAAGTTTATATTTTATCCGAGGAGATTCTGTAACGTCTGAAGGCTCATAAGGCGTTTTTCCTTAACACGGTAAAGCTCTCCCATTCAGGGTGGCAAAATTTCATGAAAAATAGAATCTTGAAATTTCTCGTGAAATATTTCATGGAGTTTCAGAAATGTATGAAAGATATTGACAGATAGGGACGGGATTGAAGCAGAAATGTTGAGGTGCTCAATCCCCCAAGATTTGTGGTTTGAAAGAGAGCAGTGGAGGTTAGGAGTCGTAGAGCGCGAGGGAGTGCTGTAAAGCGACTTGTATGTATGTATGAAAGATATTGAAAAATACCGGTTCCCTTTCAAGTTTAGTAAAATCTACAAATTGTAACTTTCCTCTAATTTTGTGTGTTTGGGTGCGGGTTGCATACTCTAGCCCCTAAAAAATATGAAATATTTCACAGCCTCGTGAAATTTCCAATCTTTCATTTCTTCCTTACGTTTCATTCCCCCCTACTCCATTTACATTATGACTCTAGGTACCGTTGGATTTGATGGCATTACCTTCTGCGGGCGTCGACTTCGCGGGGTCCGCCGGTGCCGGCGTTCTCGTGGAGGAACTCCTCCCTGGACCAGAGCTTCTTCTCGGAGGTGGAGCCGGCGAGGGTGCTGCTGCTCGGCGAGGAGGAGGGCGAGAGCGGGGACTTGGAGCTGGTGTCCCTGTCGAGGGTCTCGGCGCCGGAGCTGAGCGTCCCGGTGCCCGGCGGCGAGCGCGGCTGGTCCTCCCCGAACGACGTCATCGACGGCACCGAGTCCACCGAGTTCCCGTCCAGCTCGTAGAACGCCTCGCTCGCCAATGCCACCTCGTCCGTCGCCTCGCTCTCCGGGTCGCATAACCTGCAAACACACAACTCAAATTAATCAATTTACCATCCTAAGGCCTTGTCTCCACGGGACGTTTTCATGGGATTTGTCCAAAGACATAAAGACGGAGGGCTAAAAGCAAAAAATGAAGCTTCTTTTCAACCACCTCTACTATTGGCTAGAGGATTGGCGGCGAAATCGGGACAAGTTTGAATTCAAATGTAGGGCGGGAACTAATAAATAAAATTGCGGAAACAAAGTATTTTACGTTGATTTTTGCCCAAATTCAGGTACACACTCATATTTTATTAACTTTAGGTTAGTTTCGGTCCGTCGTCGACCGACTGATTTCATTTGGGAGTAACGTAGATCTAGAACTGTAACGGCCTGTTTCAACCTGCAGAACCACCATGAGCAGAAGAAAAACTAACTTTATCTGAGATTACTGCCTGTTACCGAGCAAAAGTAGGTGTAATATATTAGGACGCAGACCGAACTTTCTTAATATAATCGTTTTAAGCATTTAAAACACGTTTCGAAGAAGAAATAAGGAAAAATCAAGAGGACAAGTTCAAATCAAATTTCCGTTTGCCGCCATGGATTCCCGTGCTCATTTACACACTCACACAAGCGCGCAGCGCCAAACCTAGCTTCACTTTTTCCCCGTGCTTTTAGATACGAGCGCTCCGTCTTTATGTCTTTGCCTAAGGCCTTGTCTCCACGGGACGTTTTCATGGGATTTGTCCCAAGTTCGAATCGCAGGAATGAAGGGACTTCTGGGATTTTTCCCAGTTACCGTCTCCACGGGACGGGGCTTATTCAGTCCTGCGACTAGTTTGCGCGGGAAGATAAATTAGTTATAGTCGAGTATTTAACCGGGATTAAAATAATAATTGCACTCAATTGACAATCAGACACATTATTTTAACTAAACAAGCATGAACAATGCAGTAATGAATAAAATATCGCATAATTCGTTTTCACTTCTTCTTCTTCTCTCAGTGGGTCCTAGGGATACAAGTACCATACTTGGTACTGGGAAAAATGTTGATTAACTCAATATTTTTCCCAACTTCGTAAGTGGGATTTTTCCCTGGGACAAATCTCGTGAAACGGCTCGTGGAGACAAGGCCTTCAGGTCTCGATAGACGATCACATTCCCGAACCAATTACCATCTAAGTGTCGGGAGTCGTCAGTCTTAAACTCATTAATTGCTTTAATTTTAAAATGAAAACTTGGCAGAAATGTTTCCTGTGGTGGGAAATGATGAATGGTGGCACTCCATTATGATCTTACTTTGAACAAAATAGTACGGCCCGTCAAAGTTTGATGGTAGATGGTGACCATCAGTCATCAGCATGTCTACTTTGATCGGAATTGGTTCGGAATTTGATCGTCTATCCAGGGCTTATGATGCGTTGTTTAAGTTCACAACTGCCCAACGAAAATTACCCGCTGAGCGTTGAGCTCAACGAAAGCGTTGGCAAATTCTGGTGGATTTACCCGTTCTCCATGATGGCTGCTCAGCAAACTGCTCAACAGCTCAGCGAGGTTTCTCGACTGCTGCCGAGTTCGCTGGATTGCTGTTATGTTATTTTTTACATCAATATCCGCCCTTTTTCCGCACTTCTTCGCTACATGTTCTTCGCATCAGACTGACTTATTCAGAACTGACTTATGCCACTGGCGATACCTAATTTTTTGGAGTCCCACATCTAACGGTTTAGGGTTTAGGTGCAAATAAGGCAACGCTATAAGGCAACGCCGATTGACCCAACCACCTTGTAATTTCGCCGCAAACACAGAAAAAAGAGTGCCAGGGGTTATCCCCCACAATTGTTCTACTACCCAAATTTGTTGGATGATATGGACTTTACCAATTAATTTTGGTAGCTTCGTATTTCAAGTTGGGGTAGTACCGCAACATTTTGGTTAGCAACCTATAATTTACCGGGATACTACTACAATTAATTGGAATACTACCACAATTAATCGGGGTACTACCACAATTAATTGGGAATGTCCATATCATCAAACAGTTGGGAATTAACCCCTACCTCTTTTTTTTCGTGAAACCGTTATTCCTGTTATTGATTGTTACAACCAATTCTTTCAATCTGTTCTCAATTTTTGCAAGAGCAGAAAGAAGGAGTTGCTTTTTATTGAGAGTGGCTCAAAGACCACGGTTTGCTTATTGGGATAATCTAAAATTCACTTCTACATCCACAATCTGCGTGAAATAATTGCACATTCCTCAGCTTCTCGCATCCAATAGTAAACCTCGGCAAGGGCGTTATTATTACGATATCGACGGTGAAAGTCGGCAATCACATAACTCGTTTGCGGTTTCTGAAAATCTCCGCCTCTACGACATTTTTTTAAAGGAGAACAAATTGATATTATTTCTTGAAGTTTTTGCAGAATTTTCTTCGCATTGAGAAGAAAAATCATGACAGTTTTACAGAATTGCCGTTGAGTAGTTTACCATTTAAAAAATAAAGTATGACAGGAAGTCTGCGACGTCGCAAACCGAGTTATGTGATTGCCGACTTTCACCGTCGATATGTATTATGTAATTTGTAGAATCCGATGATGTCTAAACTATACACTTCGACGTTAGATGCCCACTTTAGCCTATCTTGTGAAATGAAGGAGAAAATCTGAACTTCAATAATTCCTGAGACTACCCTGTTATATGACATAATTGTAATTTTCCCCTCTTTGTTAGTGCTTTGCTTTACTCGGAAATTATTTAGTAGTTGTGTTCTCTCGAGGCTTTGTTTATTCTTTTCCGCCCGGAAAGTGCTTAGTGTGCCCTTAAAACCACTTAAAGTTTTACGTGTTCTGATTGAGCTGCACACAGAGGAAACTCTCCTTTGAATCCGTAAGAGTATCCCTCGCACTGAAAATTTCTGATATTTGGAGTGTAGCCGAGTGCTAGAAATAATGTAAAATTTTCTTTAAAAAACTTACATTTTATTAACAAACTTAGATCGAAGCTTTTCGAAGCAAACGGTCTAAAAAAAAAGCTTCGGTCTAAGTTTGTTAATAAATTGTAAGTTTTTTAAAGAAAATTTTACATTATTTCTAGCACTTGGCTACACTCCAAATACCAATTTATTCAGTGCAGACATTATATTACAATGTTCGCTGATTTCGATGAAAATTTCTTCAGAACATCTGGAATTGAGGGGCTTGGAGGACAATACGCATAAGTGCAGTTTTTGCTGTTCCGAGAAATACGTGTTGGAAGCTTCGAAATGAAATTGATCCTTATGGTGGAAAGAAAGTTCAAACTGAATTTCTGATGCTTAAAAATTGAAACTTGGGAGCGAATTTTTCACAGAATATGCATTAAGACCAGTATTACTTGAAATAGTTAAAATCTCCATTTTTTCAATAACTGCACTTATGCGCCTTGTCCTTCAGGCCCCTCAATTCAAGTTGTCTTGAAAGAGATTCAAAAAATTGTTTTTTTGACTCCCGATGGATTGGAACGAGAATTTCTCTCCATGCACGTCGACGGCGGATAGACGTTAAATCTGAATACCTTAGGCGGGAAAATCCCATGCGTACGTGCTGTGCTGTACGTGCGGCTTAGCGCGGGCCTTGGGTCAACTTTCAATTTCTTCTTTTCGCTCAGGGATGTGTGTCACCGGGCACCGCACGCGGGCCTAAGTCGCGAGCTGCACCCAGAGAAAACTAACTCAAGGTCTCTGCGTGCGTAATCATAGAGTTGGACGAAAATCCCTCATCGTTGCCATCTCCCCGAATCCCACCAAAAACCGCACACCTAGACTACGGGTCCTCTTGTGTTTACACGGTTCTTCATCAATGGCCAATATCTCTCGTATCTTATCGACAACTTGGCATCCTTGCACGGGCATTTCACTCACCGCTCATCGACAACTGCCAAACTTGGCACAGAAAATCGGTTCTTGTGGTTTTCGGTGCCGCGCCGAGTAAAAAGCTCGTAACTGCAGTTGGAATCCTGAGTAGATACGCGGTTAGGCTCAACTTTGGGTTTCGGCGAAGACGTGGCATCCCAACGGGTTCGGGGCTCGTATTCCACGCTGCAGTTGGACTCGTGCTTGTTGACGTCTCATGTGACGTCACGGACGGGCGTGACGTGGTCGACAATTCGGCAGACGATGCTGCGCCCGGCCCGGCGTTTTGGAACGGTGACAACGCCCCGGGTCCCGGGCCGTTTCCAGCGGATCTCGCCGGGCGGCGCGGCCGAGATAGCCGGGTGATTTACCCAACGGTGGCGGTCCAGTTCCGAGGCAAGAGGAAAATATGTGGAGAGAATTTGAAGGTGTCTGATATCTGATGAATCCGTGTTGAAAGGGAAACTACTGAGTGAACTGAACACGATGATACTCTCACTGGAAAAAAAAAACACATTTGATCTAGAGTCCAGACTCTTAAAAACATCGGCAAGAAAAAATACTCTTGATTCAATCAGATTTAAGCTTAAATCAAGAACCAAACCTCTTAATTTGAGCGGATTTCCTTTTAATTTAAGCTTAAATCTGATTGAATCAAGAGTCCATTATCTTGTCAATGTTTTGAAGAGTCTGGATTCTAGATCCAATGTGTTTTTTTTTTTTTTCCAGTGCTTGGTTCATAAATTGAACAATTATCTACGAAAATCCTAAGCAGGAAGACTTCTCTTGTGCGAGTGCATTCTATTAAGGCAAATTAGTCTTCGAGCGACAAATAAAAAATGCCAGGTCTTCAACTTCATTTTCCTTGCTAAATAAAACTGTTTGGTTTGTCCGGACATCTAAGGGTTTCATCAAAATTAAGAGTCGAGATAAAAATCTCGAAAAATTGCGGCCATCCTTAAAACTCCTCGTTTCTAATTGAATCATATTTTATTAATCATTTTTATACGCTTTTATTTCTGAGAAAACGTTTTGCAGAGGAACAGAGAAATCAAGAAATTCAAAATGTCGAAAAACATCAGGGGAAAAATTTCCAAATATTCCCTGATCAAGGCAACATGAAATTCCTTGTGTACACAGACGGT